AAGCCCAAATAGAAGAATCTCCTCAAAGAGTTGGGTTGGTGCGACGTGGTTTTTCCCTAAAGGTAAGGTTGAGATTGCCCAAGCAGAGCTGGATACAATGAAGGCAAACGCTTCGGCGCAGTTGCGTAGATCACCTTCCAAAGGGGCCGCGGCAGTTGCGTCAATTCTTCAAGACGTCGAAGAAATGCATCCCGAGCGCAAAGCCCTAATTGCCGAAGCTACAGAAGCCACAAAGCAAGTGCCACAAGGGTTGCCATATCGCAATCATTTTCTTAGACAAGTTGGTAGCGAGACGATGTTTGAAATTTTGTTGTGATGAAAATTCTACTTTGGGCCATGTCAACGAAGAATTTGGAGCCAATCATTTCAGGTTAGCCGATAAAAGTTCGGACGTCTTTAATCCTCAGCAAATAGAATCCATCAAGAAACTTGTTCAGATGTTTCCTGGTTGTGACCTGTGGGGTTCTATCCCATGCGGTCCTTGGAGCAATTGGCAGACAGTGGAAAGTGAGGTCCGACAGGCCCAATCTGCAATGCAAAAAGATTCAAGATTCCTGTTGAGGAAAGTTTTGGGCACTCGAATTCCCACACCGACACCGTACACCCAGGCATTCTGGATCAGTGGTGCTGAGGCCACGTCCCGCAACGTCACCTGTGCAAAATGCAGCAACAAGCGAAGGCCCTTGGGTCTCCCAGCCCTGGAAGCCACTAAGTGTGCCGACTCTTCGGGTTCTCCCGATTTTGGGTACACCTATCAAAACAATGGAAAGTGCATCAATTGCTGCGCCGTATACCAGGGCATGCGCTACCTCGATTACACCAACACTTCCGACAACCCCGATGAGGCTACCGTCTACGAGAGGTTGATGCAAAAGGAGCTGGTTGGCATTGTGCTCGCGCTGATCGACTCATGCGCAGCCGTACATGGGCCAGCGCCTTAGCCATCGAAAATGAGTTGTGGAATTGGGGCAGAAGGAAGAATGGAATTCGTGGGAGCAAAATTGAAGTCCAACATGGACAACAAGGAATTCGCCGAGGTGATAGAGATGTTTTGCAAGAAGCCCGATGTCCGTGATGTCAATGTGGCCAAAGGACACAAGCACATGGGCCGGGTTTGTGCCCCGCTGTGCGGCGCTTCTCTGGCCACTCAAACACCGCAGTGGATTTGGAGCTCACGACGATTCCCGTCGCGGAGAGAGTGATGAATGCTGTCGGCGGAGCGTGGCGCATGACTGCGCTTAGCTCCCTGAACTGGATTGCCAAATCGGGACTATTGTCTGGCGGGCCTAGACGCCGCAGACAGGATGTGCACCTCTCACCTTTTCCTCCTTGGGTTCGCAAATACACTTCGAACTTTACCAACCGATTCGCCAACGACAAAGAAAAGTGAATAGTCATCTATGTCCCAATCAGCGCATTGACCGACCACGGGGCGAGGCTGGCGACAAATGGTGTAATCTTATGCGGATGCAAAATTCTTTTTTCTGAGGTCAAGGCGATTTTCGCCCTTGCAGGATCTCGTGGTACGGGAGCGAGGCTACATTCGCCATCCCTTGTCGACGAGTTCGTCTGTGACGCAACTGATGGCACGGACTTCTGAGAGCTTCGAACTAATTCGTCGGGAAGATTGCCAGCAAATTCCATTCGGACATCAACATCCCTTTCACATACCGCAACAATGCGGCGCTGGTTATGCAGAAGGTCCCCCATGGTGCGCCAAACGACGCGCAAGCCAAAGACCTCAAGCATCACATCACGCGTGCCATATTGCAGCGTACGAATTTGTATGAGGGATTATGTTGCTTTTGCCCACGGTGCATGAAGGTGACCCCAGCAACACTGGTGGCGGGTGCCTCAATTGCGGAGCGACTATGGTGTCGGCCGGAAGATTCATGGATCAGGAGAGCCTGGGTGCGCCCCGCTCTTTGGATTCTGAAATCCTCATTGTGATGTTGAGGTCGAAGCTACGGATGAACAGAGCACTCAACAAGCGGTGCCAGATGAAGAACTCGATGACGTAGAAATGCGATCCGTTGAGGAACAAGCAGCCGGCGTCGACATCGAGAGCATCGAGATTGAGCCCGAAGAGGTTGATCAGTATGGCGAGAAAGAGGACTACTCCAATGAGTACCTCACTGTGTCGAGTAACAAAACCACTAATCCTCCCGCTCTATGCTTGAACACCGAAGAGGTGGCCAAGCTCTTCGACGAGGTGCTCGCGTACCTCATTTTCCAACGCAAGGATCTCCTTGATGACTATGTGGCATTGAGCTTCAACGAGATGAAAGAAAGCCAGGATGAGTTCCATACGCCCTTTGCCACCAAGCCCTTCCATTGCCCAGCATTTTTAGATGATGAATCCAAACTCCCTCGCATCCCCACGAAAGATGAATACTTTGAATGGCTCCGTGGGGAGGGCTGAATGGATAATCAAGAACAAGTACACTGTGCGGTACAGCTCCTTCTTGCAATGTGAAATCTTGACCACAGCTATGAGGGCTGAATGTCAATGAGCATCTTTCGCCGCTTATTGCTGTGAACTCGGAAGGATATCGGAAACTTCGACCCAATCAAGGCGATGGACACCGAAACATCATCAGCTCAAAGGTTCGGTCACTTCTTTCCAATGCACTTGGAGTAAAGAAGTTCAGGTACGTCGCGTACCGGAACACGCCCACAGATCCCATGCGCAATGGCGCATTTCACATCTGCGTTGAAGGCCTTTTCGAAGCGCAGAAGAAGCGAGAACGTCTTGATCCCGAGGTGCTCTACATCGGGGTGCAGATGGGTGCAAAACTTCGGGCCAGAGTACGGCGTGTTCTACAAAGAGAGGTTCGGTGGTGTTGTCAATGGACAGCTCCGAAACAGATCCATGTGGAACAACGTGAAAGAGTGGCTTGGGAGATCACGCACATCCATGTTCTGCAGTGGCATCGGACAAATCATTGATGATGCCAGGAACTATGGGACGCAGCACAACCTGAATTTTGACCTCAATGCAATGGATGATTGATGGCTTCTATGTGAAGTCCTCTTCTTTTCCAATCGCCATTTTGGCGCGTTATGGAAATGTCTCGGTACTTAGGTTCGTCCTGGTGCCATCTGAGAGGGGAAGTGAATACGTTTCGGAAGTGTTCGGTCTAGGTTCGCCCTGCCGACGAAGTCTCATAGCTTACTGATTTGTTCTGTCTAATGTTGATGTGCAAACGTGGAGCCTGTGTTTCCGATTCATTCAACAAGTTGTAATTCGCCGTGGGGGTGTAAAATACTACACGTGTGCCCTCATATTATGGCGTGCAACTCAGGTAGGAATTCACGGTTGATGCAAAAGGGTCAATTATTGTGTTTGGCTCAAGCGCCCTTAAGCTGTAGAAACATTGGGAATCACTATAGCTACGCCACTCACTTTGACCTGCATTTCAGACCTCGCCAAGCTTTGAGATCGAAGAGTGAAAACAAAGAAACGCAAGCTTTGGGTTCACCTGGTGTCCAAGTGCCTTACACAGCTAGCCAGTCGCCCTTGTACAGATGCCATTTGTTGATGTATGTTTACGAAGTTTCCTCTCTGTTCTACTGCCTCTAGTGCTGGCATCGAATTTGGGTCCACCGCTTTCTGGTAAAAATCATGCACACCCTGCAGTTTCATAGAGGTTTCCAAGGGCCCTGCCCTGCTGATGCAAACAAAGCATCTCATCCCAAGGTTTTTTTGGTAGACTACAGTGACTACAACAAGCTCCAAATAACAGGAGCATTTGAACCTTGGCAACGTTTCGTCTTGCCAGGCCCTTTCGCAAGTGTTTGGCACGTATGGGTCTGGCGCCTATTTAGAGTGCTACTGGCTAGCTAGGTAGCTAGCTTGCTTGTTTGCTCGCTTTTGAATGATGGGCTTGCTGCACAGCTTGATGCGTTGATGCGTTGCGCCTGCGGTTTCCAGGCAGGTGGACGACGTCCACATCATGACTGGCAGGTGCTTCTTGATACGGCAGTCATGCCACATCTTGTTAGATGAATCCTGCCCTAGCAGGTCGAAAAGCGGCCAAGCGTCAGCTTTTGTCAGATACTGCAATCCCAAGCAGGCTCCTTTTGCTCAAGCCAGCATGTGTGTCGTCAGCAGTTACTGACGGAGGCTTATGATGCAATTCTGGCAATGGCCCAGGGGTGCGCTCAGCTTTGGGGGCGTGCTCAGAGCATCCTCTGGGAATGTCTTCAGGTACGAGATTCGGCCAGGTGATGGGCACATTGTCGTCCGCCTTGCAGACGGCGAGGTCACGTCGTAACAGTGTGCGCGCTAGGACAAGCTATAAAGGAAGGCTGAAAATGTGCAAGGACTGAGCACAAGAACGAGCTCTGCAAATAGAAAATAATCTGTTTAAGCATAGGCAGAGCATTTGCGCTTGCTGCAGGGCCCAAAAGGCGGAAGAGGCAGCGACAGATCTCGGCCGTACTAGGCGCCCTGTTTTGTTTTTTCATAGTTTTGTATTTCATGGGGAGGTTCTGGCCATTCATGCTTGAATCCCTCAGCCCGAAGACCTTTTTCTGGCAGGGATGTCAGATCCTAGATTAGTTGCCAAGCACCGCGCCTTCAGGCGGCCCCAGAAAGGGGTCAGAATGCAATCCACGAGTTGAGTGCGGCAGTTGTCTTGCAGACAGCGTGCCGCAAGAGGATTAATCTCGTTAAAGATGAGCAAGCACCGGGCCATGAAGTAGTGATTTTGATGTACTGCATGCGCATTTATGAAGTTATAAACCCTTGACAGGTTTCCGTCTCACAAAAAGTGAGCACTCGCCACGCTGGCTAAGTGACCATGCCTCTAAGACGTAACAACATCGCTTGACATTTAAAGCATTGCCAGTTGCTTGTGAGACTTTATGCTGCTTGTGTTGCTCTCGACTCGCTGCTGGTCCCTTTCATCGAAGCCAAAAAAAAGGCTGTGCAGTTGCCTTTAACCAGTTTTCGATACTGGACAAAGATGGACAAAGCTTGAGCGAACTGTGCCAAGGCGTTTCTCCGTCTGAGCCATCCTTTCAGAGCTCCGTGTGCGGTTCTCGGTGGGATCCTGTTTCCATGCTGGATTTGCTGCATTGGTGATTCACGAGGGCATCCTGGCGCCGGTCAGAGCCACAAGGAGCTGCCCACACAGGAAGACTGCAAGTCGTGAGTTGAGCAAGAACACGTGCAGCAGTTTGTTTTGGGCTCAATGGTTGGAGCTTGATGCAAGGCATGCAAGGCTGCATGTGCTTTATAGCCTTCCAAGTGAGAATCTCTAATTGGCCAGCTGTTTCATGCGTCTACTTCCCGGAAGGCATGATGCCGTCAGGTATGAAATCTGTTTGCGGGATTCGCTTATGTTGTCCAAAGCGATGCTCGCCGAACATCTACCATGGTGGCGCTTTCGGAGCAAATGCTACACATGCTGCAGACGTTCTTTCCAAAACCTGGATGGGATCCTCTACAGCGCCTTGGATGTACAAAGCTCTCATCGCTTGCTTTTGCAGAAAAGATGACTGCCGGATTGCGTTAGTGTTGTAGTTTGTATGTTTGTGTTGGCCGTCTTTCACAACAGCTTTTCATTGCCGGGCGGAAGACTTGTGTACATCTATTCCGCTCTATGCCGGCCAGTGCGCCGGCCTGGCGACGCCCTGGTGTTTGCGTTTCTTCTTTTGCTCATGAGCACGAGGGAGCATGCACGTATCATAGTCACTGCTTTTCATCACGTGATCAAGACCGCGATTTGCGGAAAGTTTTCTGTACTTTGACTAGAAGGGTGCAAAGATCCGTCTTTGCAGCGATTTCGTAGGGCGTTGGGGTGCGATGCTGGAGATCCTCAGACCTCATGTGCTGATTACATCTAGCCTTCTAGGCACCCTAGGCTGGCAGAGGAGGTGCGACTGCAATTGGGCACAGACCTGAGGAACGCAGAGGGTACATCTTGCTGGGATGGACGCTTCTTTCCAGAGGCTTGTTGCAACTTAGCTGCGAGTTGCTAACTGTTACTGTCAGTTGTTCTAGTTGAAAGGTAGCAGGCCCTACTTATGCTGACTACTTGCATCTTATACTTGAGTTGTCACAGTCTTGGAACTTGCTTATGCTGCAGCTCGCGAGTGCTTGTATTTGCATGTATTTACTTGCAGCCTCTCAGGTAGTTGTATAGTGCAGTACTTCAGCAAGCCACATGTCGCAGTAGAAAAGGATCACTCAGCTTTGCATGTTGAGCATTCTTTCATGCAGGGTTTTAGGGCTTCAGAGGGACATCCGTTTCTCAATTTGGTAGCGGAGCTGTCGGGTGTTCATACAGGGCTCATGTTCCTCTCGTTCCTTGCCATGGTTTCAACTTTTATGTTTGCTGGCGCTGCCCTGGAAACCCTTGAGAAGCAAACGCAAGTTATGACCCGAATCCGAATGAGAGCGTTAACGACACAAACAAGATGGACATTTTGTCCCATGATTCTGATGTTGCTCTATCAGACCAAGAAGAAATCATCGAGCTACATCGCAATCTGGAGCATCTTTCGGAAAACGACTCAGTGCGTGAGGAGCGAACACCAGAGAAACGCGATTTACAGAGTTTTCCTGAGGATGGTCTGGGTTACAATGGTACAGGAAAGAGTTTGGTGCTCTACAAGACGTTCCGGGTGAAAACTCAGGACGGCTCAAAGCTGTATGATTCACTGCAGTTGCGTGAGCGCATCAAACGCTTGCGTCAGAAGGCTCAGTTCCAGTTTGAGTCCCAGATGCCACCATTCAAACGCGCACAGGACATGAACATTCACCTTAGAGTTGCCAAACGTATGTCCCGCAAAGCGCGCCGCATGCAAGCAATGATGCCAGGTCCTGGTTGGGGACTACTCTGTTATTCCGCACATTCTCTGTGGGGTTCTAATTGTTTGATGTGCCGTCCCCCGCCGACGCCCGCGTGCTCTTCCGTCGCGCAAACATTTGGGACGCGTTCAAGTTCGCTTAAGAATCGCGTTCCCGGGCGAGACATCCTCAAAAAATGAACGTTCTTTATAGATTTTCGATCAAAAAAACAAGGCCTTGCCTTTCAAGTTTAAAGTGCTCTTCGTAGCGGGGGTCGATGCCGAACCGGTCGCGCCTCTGATTTGTGAAAATCGCGCTCCCGCGCGAGACATCCTCAAAATTTCGCGTTTTTTGGACTTGATAAAGATTCAAGAATCGCTCTCCCGCGCGAGACAATTCGATTTTTTTGACGTTTGGATGATGTTCGTATCTTCAAAAATTGCGCTCCTGCTCGAGACATCCTCGAAATTTCGTCGGTTTATCTTTATCAAAATCAATCAAAATTGCGTTCCGCGCAGAGCACTCGCAATTTTCTAATAATTTATGAGCGATGATGTTGAAGGTTTCTATACCAATCCTATACCAAACGAACGTCGTTCGAGGTGGCTCTCTTGGCTTCAGAGGGATGTATTTGGCGGAGCTTTCCGGTCTAGGATTGCTCTAGGATTCGTCGGCGTCGGCGACGTTTTGAACATCTTCGTATCTTCAAGCATCGCTCTCCCGCTCGACATATCCTCGAAATTTCGTCGATTTATCTTCATCGAAATCGATCAAAATTGCGCTCTCGTGCGGAGCATTCGGAAAAGCTTGACCATTTATGAACGCTGATGTTGCGGGTTTCTATACCAATCGCATACCAGATGAACGTCGTTCGATGTGGCTTTCCGGTCTCAAGAGGGAGGTATTAGGTATAGGATTTGTCGGCGTCGTCGTTCAAAATTTGAGTGTTTACGGGATGGATCCTATACCAATTCTATACCAAAATGCTCTGCTCAAGGTCGTCTTGGTTGAAGGGAAAATCGCGCTCCCGTGCGGAGCGTCCTGAAAATTTTGAAGAAAACCGCACTCCCGTGCGGAGCAGCTCCCCTGCGGAGCATCCAGAAAATTTTGAAGAAAATCGTGCTCCTGTGCGGAGCATCCTGAAAAGTCTGAGGACGAAATCGCGCTCCCGTGCGGAGCATCCTGAAAATTTTGAATAAAATCGTGCTCCTGTGCGGAGCATCCTCGAAATTTGGTCGTTTCTTCATCAAAAAATCGCGCTCCCGTGCGGAGCGTCCTGAAAATTTTGATGAAAATCGCGTTCTTGTGAGGAGCATCCAAGTTGAAATATTCATCATCACCACCACTATGATGACTATAACCACCAGTGCCATCACCGCTGCCATCATCACCGTCACCTATCACCGTCGCTATCAACACTTTCACCGCCGTCGCCGCCGTCATCGGCGTCGCTCTTCACAACAAGCATGAGTCCACCGCCCTCCCCCCAAAAATGCTCTTATATATATATACATATGTAGATACGCGCGCGCGCACACACTTACACGTGCGCTCACGCAGTCATGCACGCGTGCGGAACTCGTGGCTGTTGGGGTGCGTGGCATCCTGATCGCTTTCCCGGACATCACCATTGTTTGCAATCCAATATCGCGGTCGCGGCTTCAGCTGCTGTTCTCGTGTATGTTCTTTGTGTGACGTGATGACGTTGCGATCTCTGCAGGTTTTGGGTTTGCTTTCCGTGGCGTCTAGGTCTGCCTGGCGTGATTTTGCAGGGACGTGCTTCGGGTTAAACTACTCACGTGGCTTGCAGGTGTGAAACATGTGAGTGTCTGGCGCCGTTCTGAGACTCGGTGTGTTTGTGATTGGTTTGCTGTGAATGTTCAACTCTGTGGGAGTTGCCGAGGTCTTATGTGGCATGTTTTGCAGGTGACGTGGCCGAGCTCGAGGAGGCAGGGGTGACTGGAACAATTGTGTTGTTATGTCGTGTTTGTTGGCGCTGGCTTGTGTTTCGCTCATCAGTCTTTGATTTGTGTTGGTTCGCAATGTTTACGCTCCAAGCGTGGCGAGCTCAGTCGATCCATGCTGGAAAGTTGCGCTCGTGCGGAAAAGGCAGCGGGGGTACATAAACGTTCCGGAGGTTGGCGTGCGCGTACTAGGACGATGCTACGTGGTCATGTCCGGCTGATTGAGTCTCGGGCGTGTAGCGACCTCTCTCTCTTGAAGTCCGCGAAAGGCAAGTCGATCGTTGCTGCTCGGAGTGTGGCAGCGGGGTTGCTGGTGGAAAGCCAGGACCGACATAGGGCTGAGAAGTTGCGTCTTGCTGTGACGGTGTGGATCAAGGCCGGGAATGCGGACGCAGTTCAATCGCGGTCGCTTGCCGGCAAAGACGGTCTGCTCTTGGGTCAACGCCGGTGTGTGCGCACTTGTGCGCCGTTGCGTGATGCCTTTCTGGCGAGGAAGCGCGGAGGTGGGTCCTTTGATTCGCGAGTTGCAGGTGCTGCTGTGCCATCTAGAGTCGGGATTATGTGGCGCCATTTTGTCTGGTGAATGAGTTCTATGCAGTGGACGGCGTGGCTTTCGTTCCTGGGGAATTTGCCAACTCGGGTAATATGCTCACTAGATTGTTGAAGTCTTCTCCCGAAGCTTTGGCTGTGGTCAAAGGAGGGCTCGCGGCAGGCGGGTCGTGTTTGCGTGAGATTTTTTGTTTTTCAAAATTTTTCTTTCTGTTGTCTAGGATCCACGCGCCAGGTGATTGCCCGCGGGTGGACGGCGTTTTCGTTCCGTTGCGCAGTTTCGAAGCGCGACGTTGGACAATTGCAGAAATCATGCGAGCCGTCTTCGGCGCAGGCTGGCCTTCTACGTCGGCGCTGATATTGAGTTTGACGCCTGCGGCGGGAGGCAGGTTGGATCTTTCTCCGCGACAAAAGAAAGTATCGGACAAGGCAGGGGCGCTCGGATTTCGTTATTCTTGGAGTGGGGGATGTTTGGTCGGTTGTGTGTGATGTCTGCGGGTCGAGTGTCGTCTGACGCGGCTGGTGTGTCAAGACCAGGAGCATTGCGCTGCTTGGGTTCATACAGAATTCGGCTGGGTATTTTGCGATGACATTACAATAAGTACACCTGTCATGCTTCGCCGGTGTGTGGCATTGACCGATGTTGTCTGCCTTTGCGTGGCTCGGACTGTGAAGACAGAGGAGGCGGCGATGTCGATGGTTCTTCTTGTTCGGTTCAGAAGAGGAAGCGTGAATTGGGGCGGCTGGGAAACCGAGCGTGCCGCGGATCCTCTTGGGGACGGAAAACCTGCAGCGTCGATGATGGGCAGCTGGG